TCTCAGTTGGGGAATGGAGGCTGTAACACGGGTAGGGAAGAAAAACTAAATATTCCAAATAGCATCGCTTTCGGGCAGGAAATAAAAACCTAAAAAAGTTAAAGGAAGACGAAGCAAGCAAGAAAGCCAGGAGATCAAAGAGGCGGAATTAGCTTTAGACCAATAAATTGTTCCCCGGGTGACACAGAGCAAGATGCAAAGAGAAAGACGCGGCCCTGCCGCCGCCGCCGCCGCCGTCTGTCTAGACTCCGGCGGCTAGAGCGGCCGACAGCGATGGCGTTTTAAGTAAAACCTGTCCCGAAGTGAGATGACCCAGACCAAGTGGGAGACAGGGTTCTGGGAGCGCGGGAAGGAACACTGCGGCTGGGACCCCAAGCCACAGGCTCATCCCTGCTTGGGTTTTGTCCGGTGCAGGTCCAAACGGTTCTAGCGGGGCGCGCTGCCCCTTCGCTTGGGCCAAAGAGAGTCCGGATACTGCCGGCAAGGCCTCAGCCTTTCTATGCCCAAGTCAGACAACTGGGCCGAGTCCCGCGGGTGCCGAATCCTTTCGTTCGTTTCTGGGCTTCTGTGTTTCCTCCTGCCTTCCTGGCGGGGTTTTAAAACGAAAAGGCCAGACAGAGCCAGGCTTTCAGTAAGGCCTCCTTAATCGCGTGTTCTCGAGCCATTGGTTTCCTACCTATTTGGCTGAAAAGACACAAATGCACTGGGTTATATGTGATAATATTCATAGAAATGCTCGTTGATGATCAGCCTGGAGCAGGCACGTGCGGCCGGGTTTCTAACCAGCCGAGCTATCTTTACATAAAGACATCTTTCTCACCGCTCTCCCAGAGCGGGTTTCCTACCTACCAAGCACAATGTGTTTCCCTTGCTTCTTGTTACCAAATAGTGCTCAATATTTAAACTCAGATAAGAATACAAGCCCAGCCCCGGGAAAGCGAAGGGAGCCTGTTTCCAGTCTGGCCGCTGGCGATTTGCTTCTCTAAACGTTTCCAGCCGCGCCCCTCGCACGGGTGGCGCACGGTTCTTCAGTCACTGTGCGGTCCCCCGTCGCGACGCGGGAACACATCCATGCCCGACGAGTGCAAAGGAGCTGGGGCTAAGGCGGGGCGGGGGTTGTCTGCGCAGCTAATGGGGAAGCGCTTCCCAGGCAGCCGAGTCAGGAGAACCACCTCCCCAGCGATCGGCCGGCCAAGGGCAAGGGAGGCCCGGCGTGGCAGTCCATGAAGCCTCTGAGATCCCAGCCGGCCGGCACCTACCTGAAGCCTCCGAAATCGGTGGAGAGAAGCGGCCGCCACCGATCTGCTCCTTCGCCATTTACTCATAGTTACATAAATTGAGCTTTTTATCTGCAGCTTGGATGCATGACCAGGGCGGCTCTAGGGGAAGCTCTAAAACCCTTACAATCAGACGCTGTGAAATATTGTGTTATATAGGGATATATAATGAAGACGTGTGTCTGCAATACCAACCTGTGTATATAAACGGAGAAAGAGGGAGGAAAGGGAAGGAAAGGGAGGGAGGGAGGAAGAGAGAGAGAGAGCAAGAGGGGAAAACACTCAGGAGATCTGTCAACCAAAATCCAGTCCCCAGTTTTACAGCGTTTACAGCGTGGAGACGCAGGTTGTAAACATTTTGTGGGCTTGGCAGAGACTATTACAACCCAAATAAATACACCGCATGGCGTGTTCACAGGGCTCCGGGGTGCTTCCATAGGTTCTGTTTGCTTTGCGTTTTCCCTCTGAAACCATTTTGCACCAGGGGTTGATCCTCGCACCCGCACTCGTGGCCGCCTCCTGGAAGGTTCCGGGGCGTGTTCCCCGCTTAGGGTCCAGGATAGGCTGGGCCTAAATTGGGGTCCCCTCCCTCCTCCTGGCCTCCTGAACACGGGAAACCAGAGCAGCCTGAGCAGCTCCACTGCCAAGGAAATTCGGTGGCGAGAGAAAGCAAGGAAAGCGAATTCCTGTCCTGGAGCTAGGATGTTATCATAATTATTTTAAACGTTGTATTTATTTTAGAACAATCAAAGCAGCCCCTGGTGAGCTCCCAGGGATTTCCCCATCCCGGGCAATTCAGCCGCCAAACCCACACTAGAAAGTCACCAAGAATGCCTTTGCCCCCGATTTTCCACCACCTCGTTTTACTGCCGCTTATTCGAGGCGGCCGGGTCCTGGGGTCCTGGCTCCTCTGCGGGTGCTGGCTCACCGGGCCTCGTACCGGGGCGCAGCGTTAGGGAGCACGCCCTCCCCCGCCTGCCGCAGGACCCTTGACCAACGTAGGCGCCCTCTGCACCCCCTCCGGGGGGTCACCAAGTCCCGGGGCTCTAGGCCTTAGTCCTTGTTTGTCCGCTGGTCAGCCGAGTTCTCCGAGCGTCGCGCTGCCCCAAGGCTTGTCCCGGCCTGGGAACGGTGACCCTAGAGTCACGCCCGCGCCTGGAGCTACAGCCCCGCAGCCGCCGGACGGCTGCAGCCACGCCGCGCTAGGCCTCCGGAACCCGGGAGAGGAAAGGGGGTGGGAGCGGTGCAGGTCGGGCGAGCAACACCGCTTGCTTGTTTCCCAGCGAGGTTTCCGGCCCGGCCTGAGCAGCAAAGAAAATATACGACCGCAGTTCATTCAAATCTGGGGCTCCCATTCGAGAAAGGCTAGCGTCAAGTCGACATCTTAGGAACTTCCCAGGGTAGCGGCGGCGGGAGATGGCGGCCCGGGCGCCACTTGCGTGGAGCCATACTGCCATCTGCTGGCCGAATCTCTGCACTGCGGCCCCCGCTCCCCGGCCTGAACTTCGTCAGCCGCCCGGGCGGGCCCCGCGCCCCACTCCCAAAGCTGGGCCAGAGCCGCGTCCCTGGGGGCGGGTGTGCGTGGAGCCCGGAATCTACGCTGCCGAGAGCGCAGTGCCCATAAAAGAGTTGTTTCCGCAGCCGCTTTATCGGTGCAGACAGAGCAAACAAATGAAAGGGCTTTGGTGGAAAATCTTAATTGGGGCTGGACAGTTGTAAACTCATTAAGGGCCGAATTCCAGACAGTTCGCAGACCCGGCCTTTATGGCACACCCTTACTGCCCATTCTTTGAAGTTCCTTCTGTCTGCAACAACAGAGGGCGTCCCAACCTGACGGCGGGGTGGGGGTAGGGGTAAGGGAAAGACCCATCCCCGGGCGTCCTGGTTCCCCCTTTAGACATCGGAACTCAGATAACTTTCCAGCAGTCTCGGGGTGGTGGGGAGAGGGCGTGGCGAGGGAGAAAAGAAAAGGGGGGAGATTAGGCTGAACCCTCTGGCCACATCTATAAGGCGCTTGGGCCTCCGAAGTTGTGGCCGTTCCCCCCGCAGCCCTTTACACCCCATAAACGGCAACAGCCCTCATTTGCTTTTATGGCGCTTCCAGGTCGCCGGCTGCCTAGGCCCTGCCTCTGCCAGGAGGGGTGCTCGGGAGGGGAGTGCGGTACAGAACCCAGAATCTCCTGGGTCCCGACAGGACGCTGAGGTGCGGGGGTGCAAGACTTCAGTCCCTGAGAGTCCCCAGATGTCCTTCCTGGCGGCCGCGTCGGGGCAGCAGGGCTCGTTTCCCTCCTTGGAGGCTCTTCGGGAGGCTGGTCCTTCAACTCCCCGTCGCTCCTGCCCTCACACTCCCCGCCCCATGCCAGGGGAAGGCCTCGGGGATCTCAGTGGACCGGGCTTCGGGAAATATCTCTGGGCGCCAAGATGAAAGGGTGGCCTTTCGCTGCTACTGGCCAACGGGACCGGAGACCCCAGCGCGGCTCCTCGAAGGCCTCTCGGCCTCCCCGCAAATGGGACAGGTCAAAGCCGGGAGCTAGGCCTCGCCGCCCCTCGTTGCCCAGGCTGGCTCCGTTGCTTGCGCCGCCAGGCAGCCGGCGGGAGTGGGAGCGCGGCTGGCTGCGGCAGGTTCCCGATCCGAGAGCCCGCCGGCGGTGAAACGGAAAAATCGAGATTCTGCCTCCTCCCCCCAGGCCCGGCCCCCACCCAGAGACACTACCCAAGCTCCCCTATCCCAGAGAAAAAGGTGCAAAGAGCTGACCCGCAATAAATAGAAAAGAATCAATATATTTTATTTGCCAAAAAGTTAAATATCATCTCAACACAACATTTGGTCAGTAGGCCTTGAGGTAACTATTGCAAAATATACAGTGTATGTCCAGCCGGATGGAAACCCCAGATTCATCAAGGATACAAATCTACAGTAGCCCAGTGGCGGTTTCATAGTGTATAATTTATTATCAATAAAATTAACTCCATTACAATAAGCATTCATTTTTCCCCCGATTAAAATTAAATGTAAACCATAGGTAGTAACCTTCTGCACATATGTATAGCTCCAAATTTCCTCAATGTTCATCCGGTGCAAAAACAATATTCAAGCTTGTCTGATAACTTTTTTCTTTAATATATGGATTATATATACAATGAACAAGACAGGTCTATAGAACGGGTAGAGACGAAAATGCCCACATTTCCAAAGAGGAGGAAACCATGAATTTATGCATCCTGGAGAACACTTTCTTTCTTTTAAAATTTTATTTCACTGGGAAATCCTTACAGCTCGTTTACAATCCAAGGTGAACAGCCTAGTCATACAGAAGACATGTTCCATACAGAGCTATACTCTACGCAACTATTTTTCTCCCCTAGCAACAACCTGAGTTGAAATTGAATTCTAAGCGCTCACAATCACAACGGGTGTGTCACCCAGCACAGAAGTTTGAGTCACAAAACATAATTACCACAATAAAACACAGTGTTCAAGTATCTGGGCAGATCGCTCTGCCGCACAAAGAGCAAATTAAATTAACTACACAGTCTAAAAACTATACAGCCCGCCATCAACAGTTGTGCATTAGAAAAAGGTAGTATTTTTTTGTTGTTGTTGTTGTTTATTTCTTTGAAGTCAGGAACAGGTAGATTTTTTTTTTAAATATATACAAGCTAGCACACACAGGCATCAGCGAAAATATCCCCCCCCCACCATTTTTTGTTTGTTTGTTTGTTTGTTTGTTTCCGTCTTATAGAAAATGGAAAGCTTACAATACCTCCTCCATCAAAGCAGCAGGCTGGGGGGCAGGGGGAAGCCAGCCTTAGCCCAGCTTTCGAGGGGGAGATGAGGCCTGGAGTTTAGAGCTGCTTTGTGCCGGATGGTCGGGGTGGTGGACGCTGGGGTTGAATAAGGGCGGGAGAGGGATCGGGCAGTCCTTTCTCTTTCTCCCTGGCTCACTCTCTCTTTTCTAAATGAACTCAGTTGAATCACTCGTCTTTTGCCCGGTCCTTGTTGATTTTCTTCATTTTCATCCTGCGGTTCTGGAACCAGATCTTGACCTGCCGCTCGGTGAGGTTGAGCAGCCGGGCCACCTCGTACCTGCGGTCCCTGGTGAGGTACATGTTGAACAGAAACTCCTTCTCCAGCTCCAGGGTTTGATGCTTGGTGTAGGGACAGCGCTTCTTCCTCGTGGAGCGTGCGTGGAGCCAGTTGGCTGCCGGGTTGCCTGCGAAGGAGACAGACAGGGGATTTAGAAAGAGGAGAAGCACCTACGTCCCCCCTCCACTGGGGGCGGGGGAACCTCCTAGGGTCTTCGGCCAAAGTATGGGACGCTGCTGAATCGGTGAGGGAAAGGCTGCAGAACCCGTACACAATGGAATCGTGGCAGACAGACGGAGGAACGGTCACTCACAATTGCACGCAGTAAAATCTTGGCTTCCCCCTCCCTTACGAGACCCTCCTCTCTCCTCTGTCCTCCTGTCCTTTTCCTCTCCTTCTTTCCACTCTCTGTACACTGTACAAGGATGGAAATTTAGAAATAGATCCTCTTCTTGCCAGGCAGGGGGACAGCACGCTGCCCTGTGTTCCTGTAACATTAATATTCTCTTCTCCCCCGCACTAACACACATTCTCTCTCTGTATCCTCCCTTTCCCACCTTTCCTTCTACTTTCCCCTTTCCTTCTTTGACTCCCTGGATGGCGCCCCTAGGCGCCCCAAGGATGTTGATCACTTCTCCAGTTTATGTGAATAATCTGGCATGGGGACCGCCGTGGCCCGGTCGCCTACAGCCTCATCTTGGGCAGGACATACGCCGCCACTGGCTGAAGGCAAGAAGTGGAGGGGATCGCTGTCTTCTTCAGTGTCTAGGCTGCAGTTGCTGCCACCGCTCCAGGCTCCAGGACAGTCTAGCCGCACAAAAGATTCTCTCTGCCGAGCTGCTTTCGAAGAACGGTCCAAAGTACTGCTGTCCTGGTACCGGACAGCCAGGGAGAGGGGCGGCTGGTCTTGGCTTGGCCGGCAGCGCCCGCCCCGCCCCCTCTCTCCCGGCTGCAGCCACCTCCCCTCCCCCTGAACCCGGCAGCCAGCTTGTCACTGCTCTCTGGAGTTGGGGCCCCATCCGAGGCATCCTAAACAGCAACTTCTGGTTCCCGGCCCCTGCTCAAGAGGCTCGCAGCGCAGGCGAAGCAGGTTCAAGAGAAAGCTGAAGGGCTGGCAGATCCTGGTGGCCGGCGTGGAGGCGGCGGCCGGTCTGAAGGGAGGAGACACTTACTGGGATCGATGGGGGGCTTGTCTCCGCCGCTCTCATTCTCAGCATTGTTTTCGGAGAAGGCGCCTTCACTGGGCTGTTTTTCTCTATCAACTGGAGGAGAACCACAAGCATAGTCAGTCAGGGACAAAGTGTGAGTGTCAAGCGTGGGACAGTCACCCCTTCTGGCGGACAGTGGTTCAGGTTTAATGCCATAAGGCCGGCTGGAGGGCAAGCCCGCGAAGGAGAGCGCGCCGGGCGTGGGCTCCAGCCAGGAGCGCATGTACCTGCCGTCCGGGGCCGCCGCCGCCACGGGCGCCTGGGGGTGAACGTAAGGGTGGTGATGGTGGTGATACACCGCGGCGGGCACCGCATTGGCGCCCGCCGCGTGCACCGGGTTCCATGAGGCGCCGAACACCGCCGCCTTGGACTGGAAGCTGCACGGGCTGAAGTCGGGGTGTTCCGCCAGCGCTGTGGCCTGCCGCGGAGGCTGACCCAGGGCCCCCGGCGCGTAGCGGCTCGCGCCCAGCTCGTCCGCGGCCTCGGCGCCCAGCAGGAACGAGTCCACGTAGTAGTTGCCCAAGGCCCCGGTGGTGGCCATCGCTGTGCCCCGTGCCTGGCCGGTCGGCCCGACCCGCGGAAATTATGAAACTGCAGATTTCATGTAACAACTTGGTGGCACCAGGGGGGGGGAGAAGTACAGTCTCCTAATAAGTTGCCGGCGCCCGCGCCCCCATTGGCCGCGCGCGTCACGTGCCCGCCCGGCAGAACAATAACGCGTAAATCACTCCGCACGCTATTAATGGCCCGGTGTTTTGCAGTCATAATTTTTATAGCAAAAGCCATATGTTTTTATGCAAAGGGATCGCGGCGCTCCACGATCGGGTTTGTTTTAATTGTGGCCAACGAAGATTAAAAGATCAAATCTGGCCTTGCCTCTGTACTCCCTCCCCTCCCACCGCCGCCACCAGACACACACTTCTTAAGCGGACTATTTTATATCACAATTAATCACGCCATCAGCGAGGCGCGGGTCCCGCGTGCGAGTGCGGCCGGTGGAGCCCCTCACATAAAATTAGACAATAATTGAAGCCATAAAAAAGCAGCCAAATCGCATTCTCGCTCTACTGTACTTAAATCTATATTTATGATATTTCATAAGGAGTTATTGTTTCAGAAGCCACACGGGCTGGTGGGAAGTCGGGAACGACCAACAGATTCGTTTGCTTCGCCGTGGTTCCCGGCTGTAAAAATTTACGAGGACTTGGAAAGGTTAAATTAGACTGTTGTGTTCGGTTGGCGAGCTCCCTGTAAATAATTCCTGCCGTCCCCGGAGATGAGAGTTTACCCCGGGCCGGCCGCGAAAAGTCAAATTCAACGCAGCATCCTTCCCAAAGGGAGCCACCACCCGCCCCTGTCCGAGCGCGCTGGGCACGGACAGGATTCCCAGAGGGCACCGCCTATTGTGGGGCCCGAGATCTGCCCCCTTTGGATTCCAGGGCGCCCGGGAAGCTAGCTCCCAGCGTCGCCGCTGAACCTCCAGCGAGCGCCCCACCGGGGAGCAGCCGGCTGTCCCTGAGCCGAACGGCTTGAGGTCCTGGTTGTGCTGCGGGTTCGCTTCCGACCCCGCGCACACGCGCCCCCCCCAACCCCGAGCCCTACAACCCTACGGGCCTCAGCTAGGAATCACGACACCCAGGCGAACGCAGCGGGCCACCCAGCACCGTGCCCCGACCTCGGAGGCCCTCACGCTGAGCTCTGCGAGCTTTGTCGCACTCCCCAAACCAGAGCTGCGAAAAAAACACGAGGCGGCCTCCGTGGAAGACGAGATCGGCTCGCGAGAACAGTCCCGCCCAAGAGACCGCGCGGCTCCAGGAGCTCGGAGGCCCGCGCAAGAGCCGCTGGCCTCGGGGCCCAGTATGAGTTCTTCAGGGCTCCTTCCTTCCTTTCTTTCCGGCCACCGCCCCGGGCCCCGCCTCGGTTTTCACCAGGCCGGACGGCTCAACAAGGTTACAAGGCCCAAAGCTAGGCGACCGCCGCTCAAGTCCAGGGCTAGAAATTAAAACGGGGAGGGGCACAGGGCACGGGGGCTTTGACTTTAATCCCATTCCTTGGCTTGGCCACATGGGGGAAGGTATTTCTTACCCATTTTCGAGTCTTTCTGGGTTAAATGAAAAGGCCTCGCGGCCTCTGTTAGTTGGAAGAAAAAACCTACCCCAAATCCGAACGGAAAGCAGCGACTCCTAAAAACGGGGTAATTAAATTCACGTGTGAACACTGTTCCTGCAAGAGTGTGTTTCTCATTAGCCCACTCCCCTGGCGGCGAGGGCGGGCGACGAGGGCGCTTCCATCTCTTTTTCTGGCTTCATCCTACCCAGCAGTTCCAGTAATCCTCCCCCAAACCCTGATACATCCCTATCCCGGACGGGGACCCTCAAATGCCGGGCTCTCCCCGAGAGCGAGGCTGCGAAGCCTGGCGGAGACCAGCCGGGTTCCCCTTTATCCGCTCTCGCCGGAAGAGGGAAGTGGCCGACACAGTGAACTCCCGACGACGTGGCTGGTCCTGGTGGCCTTAGCCTCCTCCCCCATAATATTTTCCTTTCCCAGTAAATTCCTCTGCCTTATCCCCACCCCCATCGCATCCCGGCCTGTCCCAAATATTGGGCAGTTCGCGGTGCCTCTGAGATTTTCATTAAGAAGTACTAACTCAGGAGGAGACCTCGCTCCTCATTGTAATTGTCTGAGAACAGGCTGGACTGACCTATTTGCAATTCAACTTTTTTGCTCAGAGAAGCCTTAAATTAGTATTAGTATTTTTTTAATGAAAAGTCTGTTTAAATAACCTTAGCCCCCCAGAATAGGACAGTCACCACATAATTAGCAGGCCCTGAATGTTAAGCAGGCCTTACTGGTGCCTAAGAGGGGAGAAAAATCAGAAAAACCTAATTGGACCCATCTTCTGCCCAAAGATTTGGGGAGAAAGGAGTCAAGCTTTTGAGTCAGATTTTATTTTGGAAATGAAAGGGACTGTGTGTGTATATTTTAAAAAATAAATAGATGTAATTACAAAAACTGCCTCTTTTCGCCTGAGAGTTCTAAAACCTTGGCCTCCAAAATAAATCCAATTCTCTGGTCTGGAAAATGGCACAGAGGAGTTTAGGGGAGAGCCGTGTGCTGGCCTTTCAGATAACAGAGCGATGGAAACAGTTCCAGGGCTGGAGACAGAGCTGGGAAGGGAAGCCCAGCTTGGTGGGCATGAGTCTGAAGTCAGCGTGTGCGTGTGTGCGTGTTTGGGAGACAGGGAGGGATGAAAGTTGTTTTCAGTTTGGTAGCAAGAATGGTTCATCTGGCTTCCAACGGTGGACTACAACTTGGAATGAGGGCTCAAGTTTGTAATACAATGGTTGTGGAATTTAAGATTTCTTTCCCCTATTATATTTGAAACAGACTGGAGCTGGAAGGGTCCCTTTCTCCAGTACCCACCGGCACAAGGATGCCATTTCTAACAGACTCTGAACCTGATAGAGGCTACAGGCAAACAAGCAACCGTTCTTTGCCCTAGCGCTGCTCCCCTGCCGCGCGGTTAAAGCCAGAGTTGGGACCGGCAGGCTGGAGGAAAGCGGAGGTAGCTTCCAGGCGGGATTCCCTGCGTGGCCAGGCTCTATAGAACCTGGCTGGGCCTCAACCGAGGCCCTAGCCTCAGGTGCCCAGTGAGGCCAGCAAAGGCCTCCTTGCCCTCTGTGTGGGCACACAAAAACGGCGCGAATGCCCCCTAATCAGATCTCATAAGCTGTGGCTGCCGACCCGCGGAGTAAGAACGCAAGGCCGCCGCCATCCGGTCGTGATCATAACCGAGGCCTTGTCTCTGCAGCGGCACACAAGGCCCAGATCCACAGCCCCCGACAGCTGTCCCACTCGAGCCCTTCCTTGGCAGATTCCGGCCACAACTTGAGCACGCAGAAAAAAAATAAATAAGTAAGACCCCCGTCCCAGACTCTCCCCAGCCAGCCCTGGGTCCCTCTCGGAGGAAGAGATGGGAGGACAGGAAGTGGAGATAGAAAACTGGGCACAGAGAGACCCAAGATGAAAGACAAATGAACGGAAGGAAAGAAAGAAGGAAGACGTAAAGGTAAGGATAAAGAAAAGGAAGAAAGAGGAAGAACGGAGGGAAGAAAAGAAGGAAGCAAAGAGTCAAAAGCGACTCCTGGGAGCAGAGGGCGGCTTACAGAGAGAAGGGTAAGTGACAAGGCCAGTATCCCAGCGCCTTTGCAGCCTGTCCCTCCTAGTTTAGTCTGAGTCTCTCAAGGGGATCTTTCCTGATCTTCTACCCTGGATTAGGGCTGGTTGTGTCCCAGCCTTGCAGGAGAATGGCCTGGAGTCGGGGAAGGCCCAGAATGGGAGCGTGTGCCCCTGACCTTGAATGGCTCGGGCCCAGAATTCCTACCACGCCCCTGGCGTCCGCCGGGGAGCAGCTAACCTGATCATACCTGCTCGAGGCCAGGTGGGGATGGGGATTGCGGCCAACAGCTTGGCAAAGCGCTGAGAAGGAGGCAGGGACGAGGCTCCTGCGCGGGAAAAGCCGAGGTTGCCACCGCAGGCCTGGCACGACCAGGGCCCGGATGCCCCGCCCGGCCCGGCCCCCGCGCGCACAGGTACCTGGAGACGATTTCAACTGAAGTAATGAAGGCAGTGTCGTGCTGTCGAGAGAAAGGTGGATCCCAACAACAGGAAACTACCTAAATCACCGACCAGTTCTCGTGCTGCCAGCGCGGGGCTGCCTCGCCCGCCGCCGCCGCCGCCGCCGCCACCGCCGCCGCCACCGCCGCAGCCAAGGGAGAACCCTGCGATCGCGCCCGGCCCGGCCCCTTGCCAACCTGCGCCCGCGCTGCCACTGTGTGTTCCCCGCTGCCGCTAAGGCATCGCGGCGGGAGAAGCCACCGGACCCCGGTAAGGTAAACCTGGGAGAGAGGGGGAAAGAAGGCAAAGGAGAGAGAGGAAAATGGAAGGAGAGGGAAAAGCGAGAAGAAAGGAGAGCGAGCGGTGTGCGTGCTGGTTTCCCAAATCCCGCTTCTCGGCGAGCCGGCGCCAAGCGGCGGCGACCCTGAGTGACTCGAAAGCGCCAGGGACGGCCCCGAGCCCGGCTCCCAGTCTGGTCTCGGCCTCCGGCGCTCGCTCCCCGCGGCTCGCTCTCCCCCTCTCTCCCTCCCAGCCAGCCAGCCAGCCGGGGCGCGCGCTCCCGCGCCCCCTCCCCCTGCCGTCGCCCTCCCCCCCACCTCCCGCGAGCAGGAAACGCGTGGCCCCGCGGAGGGCGACCAGGTGGGGGAGGCCGTGCTGGGGGAGGGGGGCTTGCAGCCCGCAGCAGTCTACCTAACCGCTGCCGCGGACGCTATTGACGCTCTCTGGGCCCAGCCTGCTCCCCGGATTCCTAGGCTGGGGGTCATCTAAGACCAGGGGACCCGCAAAACAACCGGCGTCTGCGAGCCTCCCTGGGGCTCCCGAAAGAAATCCTGTTTGGCTTCCTCTGTCTATGCAGCTCCCCTCTCAACTGAAACCACTGGTCCAAGACAGCCACAATCCAGATATACTAGCAAGTCATAAAACTGAACAAAAGCCGACAAACCTTACGGCACCAGGGCTATAGGGCCCAGACAAATTACGACCGTCTAGGTAATATTTAAATAGATGCCTAAAGTAATTGCAGGGGGCGCGGGCTAGTCCTCCTGTTGTAAAAGTGGTGAACGGGATAAAGTGGAAGGTGAAGATAAGAAGTAAAAAAAAGAGGTAAAATTTAAAAAGCTTCATTCCACAGCTTTTATTCTTCTATAAGAACATAAACATCGTCTTTTTTCCACGCACAGCAGCATTACAATATTAATTTATTCTGATTTAAGATTAGACGTAAATAGAGCTAGAACTAACATTTATAATAACGATAGAATGCATTTGCATAAAACAAGATTGGCAATTTTTCATAATAATAGACATTTATACAGATTTGTATTTATAATTTTTCTTTTTCTGCACCTACAGGTTTGACCCTTTTATGCATGTAACTTCACAGTATAAAGGAAACCCAAACAATGTCTCCCTTCTCTAGTCTATTCCGCTTGCCCAGCCCTCCTCGGATTCTGTGAATTTTAGGAAGGAAAATATAAAAGAGGAAGAAGAAAAAAGAAAATGAGAAAGAAAACTCTCCACAAGATAGGGAGAATTGTGGTGTGCTTGTCGTGTTACCAGTGGTAACAATTATTTAATGACCAAAAAAACCCCACTAAATCTGCACGCATAAACAAAACTATATTAGGTTATTTATCTACAGCTAGAAGGATATGAAAATTCAGAGGTAAGTGAAATAATTTAGTCCCACAATGCAAGACCCTACACAAACTGGAAGAGAAGTTTCCTTCTCTTGGTCATTCTTTCTTTTTTTCCCCTCCCTTTTAAAGCTGGGATATCTTACAGAGGAAGGAAAGATTACTCGT